TACGATTATCGGACGTAAAGTCGATCGCATACGAAAATCGTCCGATAATCGTAAGGTGTAAGGGAGATTAAGGCCTCATTCAGTCAGGTGAATGAGGGCAGATAGTTTGCCATGTTCAGAGGCGGCTATACACCACCTACGGATACAGCGGCTCTCTGTGCTATGACCGCATACAAAACTGGCCCATTAGCTTCAGCTAGAAATGCCAATGTTATCCGCGGATGCACACTGCTTCCAGAGTCAGTCAAAGGCTTCCTTCAGAAGTAGATGCTTATCTAAGTTGTTACATGCCAACAGCTGGCCATTGATTTAAACACGAGTACAAATCTGTCGCTGCTGGCTATGGCTGTTCACACACATACTGCACATGCCGTGTATAGCATTGCTGGCAAGAATCACTGGATTAAGGGCCCATTACCACATGCATTAACATTGCGGGAGGTGCTTTGTGTCAACATTCATTTCAATGGCACCCTAAACACCTCCTGCCCGTAATGTGATCGGCCGCGACACAACGTGCAGCACCTCAATACCGTGCGTTGTGATTGAAAGAAATAGTGCATTGTGCAATAGTGCAATGGCATTGTGGATGGGAGGTGCGTTTGAAATGAATAGCACCGCAATGTGCCTCCCGCACTGACAATGCTGAGTAGATGCCTTTCACAGTGCCGTGTGCATAACGCGCAGACGCGGTGGGAACGGGCCCTGAATGTGCCCTTTACTATTTAGGATGTACTGTTTCCCAGAGATTGTATCAGCACAGGGCACGTCAGACTCCCATGTTTATACATATGTATGCCACGCTCATTCTGCAAAACAATCACACAACAACAATATCCTCTGTTATCTTTAACCTACAGGAACCTAAAGCTGCCCAACCACCTTACAATTATCGTTCAATTTATTTTGTCCCGTCATCGCACCTTTGTTCAATTTTCACTCAAATAGCCCATCGTGCACAGACCAGCACAGACCAATGTATATTTCGATAATCATTCCTCAGTAATATTAACTGGGAAAATTTCGATCGGCAGAACAGGTTTTTTGTTTGCGCACATGCAGTGTTCAAGTTGCGATTTTTTAAAAACGCCACTGATCCAACGAAATTCGTACAATTCGAAAAAAGTTTTCTAGTCTGCCCGGTAGACAAAATTCGGTTGTCAGTTGTGCCGTAATTGTTGACTTCTCATCAACTGGTTGATTATTGTACGAAAAACTGTTTTCGTTCAGAAATCGAACAATAATTGCAAGGTATATGGGCACCTTAAGACTCATAGTTATTTATCGTTCAGCCCCGAAGAACGAAAAAAAAACTCTTGCCCCCCCCCCAAAAAAAAAACTTTTCATTTGCCCCGTCAGGCAATTGTATTCTGCCGCTGTCACACCCCCCAAACAGTAACTGCAGCCGATTGGTTTCAGTCATTGTTCGGCCAAACATTTTCCACCCAACTCCTTCCATTTTCAGATCTAAGGATGTCGGGGCCGGATGCTGCCGGCAGGGGGCCACCAAAGAGTGAATTTCTGCTGGTTCATCATGAGCCGACCAAAATTTGCTCTGTGTATGTCCAGCTTTAGGGTAATGTTAGGAGTAAATTTTACTGTTATTAATCTAATAAATACATGTACATTTGGCGACATGATCATAAAGGAATAAATTGCATGGCTCCACCCTACCCTAAAAAAAAAGGAGCAACAAAACCCTTATTTTTTGGATTTGTGAAGGACACAAGACAAGCAAATACCTTCTGGTTTAAGACAGCTCCACAGTGTTATTAAAAGAAAGCATAGCGCTGAGTGGGGATCCCCTCATCAAAAGAGGTGATGGAAAGCAAACCCCATTCATTCCCACGCTGAAGCAAACAGATTGTGCCAAATCATTAAAGTCTTCGTGCCTTGGTGCTGGTATCATTCAGCACAGAGAGCATTGGTCTTTGACATTCCAGTACAGCATCATTGTAAAAAAGTCGGTGGGGGAGGGGAATTAAAGGGTGTGCATTGCCAAAACGTTTTGTTTCTTTTAGATTTTAGGAGCAAACAAAAAAACCTTGCCGACAGGTCTAACCCTTCCCCATTGTATCCAAAACTGAAAAAGAAAGTTTTGCCTTCTCATTTATAGAAGGGTGGCTTAGTATACACAATAACTCTCTGCTTACACTATGTACTAAATGTATCCTGCATCACATTAAATATATAGTATATCCTGCACAGCTGATGCCAGATTAGGATTCTACTGTACGTATATCAATACATCACTCAAAGAAAAGGTTTCTCAGCAGAAAACTAAAGTTTGTGCAAGCAGAAAACTGCCGACGTACAGAAACTTTCCGCTCCCACAAGCGTATCTAATAATGGAAGGGAATTCCTGCATATATTTCCTGATCTCCGGCCAATGTACAGATATGCTGCAATATCATTGATCCAACAATGCAAATGAAATGCAAACAAATTGAAGTGTGAGCCTATTAGCCATACACTATGACATCCACAGATTTCTATGGCTACCGTATACAAACAGGGATATTGCACATTGTCAACACGCAGCGCTCAGCAGACCTGTCAGTAAAAGTCGTATTACATACAGATGTCAGAAGGGCAGTAAAATGACAGCTGGAATTCGACTGCTTGCTATAAAACCACAGCTCGCTTCCATCACCCCTCCCATTTCATTTTGGATACAGTATAGGATTGTTAAAAAACACCTTGTATATATTTGTCTGTGCTGCCTATGTCCAATAGAGGAGATTTACCTTCACTGAAAACACAACCGGAATGGAGAGGAATTATCTGCAATGGGAGAGGAAAATCATCCCCTACTGGACAATCATTACTGGAAACGGTGTCCCCATTGGAAGATTTGCCCTCACGGCCTGTTCCTGTGACAACTGTCAATTTTGCAATTTCCCATCAATATTCACCAAAAACCTGACAAAGGCTCAAACCCTTTGCTCATTACATTGTTTACACACGCACACAAGTGATTATGCGTATTTGTGTTGCAAAAAGATGCAGAGAGACAGAGTGACATGGCAACAGACTTATTCCCCAACCACAGGAGTCACCCAACATTGTACAGTCCATATCTGAGACCATCCTAGAGATACTACCAGAACCACCTACTTATCCGCCTCCCGCTGGGGCATGAACCCAGCACAAGTCTCAGATGTCTGGACAGTCACAGTTCTGGAGATTCCTTTTCAAACACTGATACGCATTACAATGTATATAACGGGGAGTTGGACAAATCCCAGGAGCAAGGACGCCAATGCTTCTTAAAACAATGACACCTCGTGCCCAACTCTTAGAGTTTTCTCTTGATGCTGTCAAAGGAGCTGCCTCATAAAATAAATGACTCCTGGATTGGTCTGAATGGCTCCTGAATTCCATATTCGTCCACACCAGGAACTCTGGAAATAAGGTAACGGTGTACAAAGACGACATCAAAGTATAGGTAAAGCCAAATCTTTCATTTTACTTTTGGATAGCGTAGGGTCGTCTGTATCCTGGTGGGAAGGTTGTTCTTCACATCCTGTCCTCCAGAAGCAACAGGAAGTGAGAGGGAATATCTGTAAAGTGAGGGGAATTAGTTGTCAGAGGAACAGATGTTCCCACAGGAACATTTCTGGTGACAACGGTGAAAATTATGAATTCCTTATCACTTTCTGACAATGGTCAACAGGGCAGATAGACGGGATACATCTACCTAGAGGGGCAGAGACATGAATAAAAACCTGACAGTGGTGCCAATTCTCCATTGCTCTATCCAAAAGGAAAAACATTTTTAGCTATACATGCCATTTAGGGGGGACAGCAAACATGAGAATTTGATCTTAAAAATATGTTTTTTTGCATTGAGGTCAATGGCTATGTAGCCACGCCCCCAGCTGCAGTGCAGCCGCACCGGAAATCGTGGCACATCAATGCCTCCGATCCAGTCAGAAAAAATGCTGCATGCACTATTTTTTCAGGCCACACCGGAATGCAGGCATTGATGTGGCACACGTTTCAGTGCGGGCGATCGCACTGGAGCCGGTGGGCATGGCTGCGGTGCCACTGACTTCCGCCATGCCCCCTCCCACCCCAGAATGCAGTGACCAGGCCGGGATGCGATCCAGTGAGTTCCGGCACCGAATCGGGCAGGAACGCACTGGGGCTGGTAGGAACGTATTTTTAAGATTTAAGTCGCGAGTTTAGGGCCACATAAGAAATGTTTTGGATACAGATACACTGACATGACTTTATAATAGGAATTGGGACACAGCAATGCTGAAGAGACGGGTGCACATCACAAGAAAAGAGTAACATGACAGGGGGCTCCAGTGTAACCTCTGGCACCCCTCTCCTATCTAGCTCACTAGGACCTCAGACAGAATTTTTAGGTTAACATCATTTATTTGCCCCTTCACCCCACAAATCACACAGCACGGGAATATCTGCCCATAGCATGGTCATTATACACAGACCCTAAACAGACCTGTATGATCGGATTCTATTCATCCGGACACTGTGTACAGACTGATGCACACATTCTTCTACATAGGACTACAATCCAGGATCTGTGACATCCATACACTCCCCCAGAACCATCCTCACCACCGGCAGGAGATGAACCCCAAAAAGGTGCCACCATACTGGAAATTATATCAGAGGAAGCCCGGGGGGCACCTCAGCCCCACAGTCCCAGCCCGGGGGGCACCTAAGCCCCACCATCCCAGCCCGGGGGGCACTAGTCCCAGTCTGGAGGGCACCTCAGCCCACAGTCCCAGTCTGGAGGGCACCTCAGCCCACAGTCCCAGGCTGGAGGACACCTCACCCCACAGTCCCAGTCTGGAGGGCACCTCACTCCACAGTCCCAGCCTTGAGGGCACCTCAGCCCACAGTCCCAGGCTGGAGGACACCTCACCCTCCAGTCCCAGCGTGGAAGTCCCCTCACCCCACAAACTTCTGTCCTCCGCAGAACTCACACCCGAGGCGGAGGATGATCTCCGGGCCTCCGTTATTACCTGCAGGAGGCCTCCGCTCAGTTGCTGTCCTCCTCCTCCCGCAGGCTCCGTTACTCGGGCAGCTGTGTCGGCGCTGGGTGGGCTGAGGCCGCGCAGTCTCTCTGGGGAGGAAGAAGAGGAGGGCAGATAGAGGATGGGAGGCGGCTCAGAGCCGCTACAGGAGGATGGAGGGCTTCACAATATGGCTGCCCGGCCCCTCCTGCCTACTCAGCACCCTGGGACAGCCAAGAACGCGCCTCTCCCCCTTACCGACCCGCCGCTATGCAAACTTTATCTGTGTAGAACTAATCCCACCCGTGTTCACCACCGTGTACTGCCCGGTATACGGTCGGTGTATTGCCCGGTATACCAGGCTAATAATACCCGAACAGACTGTACATGGCAAGAGCAACAAGTGTGAGGAGAGCCGGGAAGATGTCAGAGTGTGAAGTACCACACAGCCGGCTTTCCTCATCTCAGTCACACCAGTATCACCAGTTGTGGAAGTAACAGGCTGGAAATAGGTTTTACTGGAGAGCAACAAGTGAGTCGAGCTCTTCTTATCCAGCCATCATATCATTATCAGGGCCTCACCATCCTAAAGAGGACCCTAAACACTGACCATTAGGAAAAGGTGCTCTAAATCATCAGAGAAAATAATTATTCTTCCAAAATGGAGAATTCCATACAAACGACAAGAAGATGATAAAGTGTCACCGGATGAAACATCTCCAGGGTCACTCAATGAGACATTTGTCACACATCTCTGAAGCCAAATTCACGAAAACTCTGCGACATTCTCATTGTTAGCACCTACGTTCTCATTGTTAGTACCAAAGCGTACAACAAATTCATGTAGTTCTTATTTACAAAAACATTTACTGTATGGTGCTAACAATTGGAACAAATTCATAAAGATATATCGGCGATAAGGGAAGTGGAAGTAACTAAGACTTCCATGGAGTAAATTGTTGGTTGTGTCACGTGGAATTATTGTGGAGACTTCACAAAAACTCGAGCAGACAGTTTTCTTATGGGAACCCATTGGTGTCACAAGGGGGCTGCGGTGACACCAAAATGACTGACAGTGCTGTGAACGCGCTGTGGACATTACCAAAGGACCCCACATGATGTTCATATACACTATATTGCCAAAAGTATTGGGACACCCCTCGAAATCATTGGATTCAGTTGTTCCAATCACCTCCATGGCCACAGGTGTATAAAATCAAGCACCTAGGCATGCAGACGCTTCTACAAACATTTGACAAAGAATGGGTCGCTCTCAGGAGCTCAGTGAGTTCAAGCGTGGTACAGTGATAGGTTGTCACCTGTGCAATAAGTCCATCCGTCAAATTTCCTTGCTACTAAATATTCGGCGGTCAACTGTTAGTGGTATTATAACAAAGTGGAAGCAACTGGGAACAACAGCAACTCAGCCACGAAGTGGTAGGCCACGTAAAATGACAGAGCGGTGTCGGCGCATGCTGAAGCGGACAGTGCGCAGAAGTCGCCAACTGCCTGCAGAGTCAATAGCTACAGACCTCCAAACTTCGTGTGGCCTTCAGATTGGCACAACAGTGCGTAGAGAGCTTCATGGAATGGATTTCCATGGCTGAGCAGCTGCATCCAAGCCTTACATCACCAAGTGCAATGCAAATAATGCAGTGGTGTAAAGCACGCCGCCACTGGGCTCTAGAGAAGTGGAGACGTGTTCTCTGGAGTGACGCATCATGCTTCTCTGTCTGGCAATCCAATGGACGTGTCTGGGTCTGGCAGTTGCCAGGAGAACGGTGCCTGACTGCATTGTGCCAAGTGTAAAGTTTGGTGGAGGGGGATTATGGTGTGGGGTTGTTTTTCAGGGGTTGTTCTTGGCTCCTTAATTTCAGTGAAGGGAACTCTTAAGGCATCAGCTTACCAAGACATTTTGGGCAATTTCATGGTCCCAACTTTGTGGGAACAGTTTGGGGATGGCCCCTTCCTTTTCCAACATGACTGCGCACCAGTGCACTAAGCAAGGTCCATAAAGACATGGATGAGCGAGTTTGGGGTGGAGGAACTTGACTGGCCTGCACAGAGTCCTTACCTCAACCCGATGGAACACCTTTGGTATGAATTAGAGCGGAGACTGCGAGCCAGGCCTTCTCGTCCAACATCAGTTCCTGACCTCACAAATGCGCCTCCTGGAAGAATGGTCAAACTTTCTCATAGACACACTCCTAAACCTTGTGGACCCCTTCCCAGAAGAGATAAGCTGTTATAGCGGCAAAGGGCGGGCCAACTCAATATTGAATCCTACGGACTAAGACTGGTATGCCACAAAGCCATAAAGTTTATGTTCGTGTAAATGCAGGCGTCCCAATACTTTTGGCAATATAGTGTATGTAACAATAGAGACAATTGTCTCTGGACATACCACGGTAGATAGTTAAGCTGGTCAGAGACTGTGGACATACTTAAGACTGAAGTCTAGGAACTTGTTACTAGAGGTTGCAAGAGATCACCTCCATTGGAGTCCCTTTACTAATCATTGCTCCAGCTACTAACTGCTGGGGTCCCATGGCTGCACAACAAGTACCAAAAGGACACATGTAGCCCTTGGGCCATAGAGTGGGCACCAGGGGTGTAGGGCAGGGCTCAAAATTTCAAGTCCTAAGCTACTAGCCAGGCCTTAAAAGTTACTCGCCACCAGTTGCCCCACCTAGCCCCTACCCTGCCTTGGACTTAACTCCGCCAGGTCAGCAGATTGACGCAGAGTACAAAGATCAGTAACAACGCACAGTACAGAAGTCAGTGGTGCAATGCAGAATACAAAGGCCAGCTGTGTGACGCACAGTACAGAGGTCAGGGCGTGACGCACAGTACAGAGGTCAGGGCGTGACGCACAGTACAGAGGTCAGGGCGTGACGCACAGTACAGAGGTCAGGGCGTGACGCACAGTACAGAGGTCAGGGCGTGACGCACAGTACAGAGGTCAGGGCGTGACGCACAGTACAGAGGTCAGGGCGTGACGCACAGTACAGAGGTCAGGGCGTGACGCACAGTACAGAGGTCAGGGCGTGACGCACAGTACAGAGGTCAGGGCGTGACGCACAGTACAGAGGTCAGGGCGTGACGCACAGTACAGAGGTCAGGGCGTGACGCACAGTACAGAGGTCAGGGTGTGACGCACAGTACAGAGGTCATGGTGTGACGCGCAGTGCAGAGGTCAGCAAAGTGACGCACAGTACAGAGGTCAGGGTGTGACGCACAGTACAGAGGTCAGAGTGTGACGGACAGTACAGAGTTCAGCGGTCAGAATGTAACGCAGTGCAGAAGTCACAAAGAAAGTACAGGGACTTACAGTTGCTTTTACCTCTTCTTCTTCTGGTGATAGTGGGGGAGCAGCAAGGTTTCCTACACATCCGGCTTTCTCTCCTGCGCAGCAGAAGCCGGCCAACTGCAGTTCGGCAGTCTTCCTCTCCCACCAATGGCAGCTGAGGTGGGCGGAGGAAACTGCTGTGGCCGCCAAGGAGCCCAATCGAAGCGGGCACAGACGATGGCAGTCAAGCTTCTTGTTCTTTTCTCCCCGCTGCAGCAGTCTTAAAGTCAGAGCAGTCATAAAGAGGCCCCCCTCCCAGTCCACATCTTTAGGATGTTATTAATCTGAGTTGCCCCACTCAGTATGCCCCTCGCTTGTGGCCATATTGAGTGGGGCACTAAGATTAATAACATGCTGGATTAGTCTGGGCCCGGGGGCAGGATGGCAATTGCCCCCCAAGCCTCCCTGATACCTTTGCAAACGCCCCCCGTAAGCATTTAATCTCTCCCCTCTCGCTCTGCTGCTGCAGCGGCCAAGAGGGGAGAGATTAGGTGCTTGTGGCGGCGGGCGTTTGCAAAGGTATCAGAGAGGCCCGGGGGCAGGGTGGCAATTGCCGGCTCTGGAGTGTCCCATCCAGAGCCAGCACTAGCTCTCTGCGATCCCTCTCCTCCCGGCCGCTGCAGCTTCAGCTCCACCAAGCGGGCACTCAGAGAGGCGGCTCTGATCACACCCGTTATCGCTCCCTCTTCTCTCCTCCAGGCCGCTCTGAAGCTGCAGCTGTTGGGAGGAGAGGGAACGCTGACAGGTGTGATCAGAGCCGCCTCTCTGAGTGCCCACCTCGTGAAGCTGCAGCGGTCGGGAGGAGAGAGAGGGATCCCTCAGCGGTGTGATCAGAGCAGTATTAAAGAGCCCCCCTCCCAATCCACATCTTTTGGACGTTATTAATCTGACTTGCCTCACTCAGTATGCCCCTCGCTTGCGGCCATATTGAGTGGGGCACTCATATTAATAACATGCTGGATTAGTCTGACCCAGGGGCGGACTGGGCCCGGGGGCAGGATGGCAATTGCCCCCCAAGCCTCTTTGATACCTTTGCAAACGCCCCCCGCCCCCCACGATAACGTGTGTGATCAGAGCCGCCTCTCTGAGTGCCCGCTTCGTGGAGCTGAAGCTGCACCGGCCGGGAGGAGAGAGACGGATCACAGAGAGCTAGTGCCGGCTCTGGATGGGACACTACCGCCGCGGTGATCGTTCGCTTCTGTTCTCTCTTCTCCTTCTCAGCCGCTCTGTAGCTGCAGCAGCCGAGAAAGAGAAGAGAGAACAGAAGCGAGCGATCACCACGGCGGTAGTGTCCCATCCCTGGTCCCGCCTGCGGCGCAACCCATCGCTGACATTTTCACTCGCCAATTGCGAGGGGGCGAGTGGAAATTTTGAGGCCTGGTGTACGGTATAGTTAAAGGACCTTATCAGGTTTATTTTTATCCCACTTAAAAGATTTATCTTTACTTCCTGTGCTGTAGACACAACCAGAAATGCCTTCTTCAACAGCTGTCACCAGAACAAGTGTCCCCATTAGAAGAGTTCAGGTGACAACTCAAAATTCTTTCAGTCCCAATGAAAATGGCCACCATAGACAGAGAGGTGAATCTCCCCAATAAGGACACACACAGCCAAACCTGCTCTCTTTAGGTACACTTTAAATGCGATGTGAATAAGAAGGTGTCCTTTGTTCTCCTGTAGGATACACATGACAAGAAGCCGCCACATGCCTGTACAATAGATCTACAGAGTCACCCCCTCCTACCTTCTCACAGCTATACTGTGTTGTTTCACCTTGACATAATTTTCCCAGTATACTCAATGTCTATGTAAACTGTGCGGTTCAAGTTTACTCCACCTGAGCTCCTGATAATAGAATCCAGTGTGATTTATGTAA